AAGGTTTAGTCTTAGTCTATTATTGCAAAGGCTAGAATGGGCAAAGGCTCAATTGTTTAGTCACCAGTACAGCCTAAATTGGGGGAAGTAAAGTTTAAAATTCATAGTCTAAAATGATAATTCACCCTTCAGTACCTTCATTCAGCTATGGTTTGGTTTGTTTGTATTTGTGACTTCTGTATTAGTCAGGATAGGTTAAGTTCGGATGTAGTAACAAATAGCTCAAAAGAGTCAGGTGCTTAAAAATGTAGATATGTTGCCTAATTGTGTTACACAGACACAGAGGATCAGCTGGTAAAGTCAGCTTACCGTGGTTACTCAAGATATTATCTTGAAGTTTCCTGTTCCCATTCCAAAAGGAATAGAATTTTGGAGGGTCTAATGCTGGCAATTGAATATGTGATCTTAAAATCAATTCATGTTCTTTCTGTCCAGTCACATCTACTTACCCACGAGGGAACAGGAAGATGGAATGTTGGGAATAACTTGATATGGAGTACTAATGACTGCCACAATTGGTCCCAGTTGGCAAATTTTTAATATGTCCTCAATTCTTTTCCTAGAATGGATATGTGATCACCACATCTCTGTACTGTAAATGTAGGCCTTCTTAGCTAAAAGTTGTTTTATATTTTACAGATAAGGCCCACATCCTGTGCTTGTGAGCTCTTTATCCGTAAAATCAATCAACCATGGATTGAAAATATTTAAAAAACCGCAGGTACACTAAGCATACTTTCCTGTCCTTATTCCGTAAACAATGCAGCACAGCAGCTGTTTACACAGTCTTTACAATGTACTGGGCGTTGCACCTCTCTAGAGATGACAGTATGTGGAAGGATGGGTTATATGTAAATGTGATGCCACTTCAGAAAATTGACCTGAGCATCCATAAACTGGTAACTGCAGAAAGCCCTCCAACCAGTCTCTACAAATACTGAGGCATTTTGTAGATTTCACTCATTAGATTGCACTTGGGAGAGGCTTGAATTTGAGCCTGAGCCTGATCTGTGCTCCAATGCTTTCCTATGAAAACTCAGTCATTTATCTTTTATTCAAACACCCCACTTAAGTAGACTGAAAAACTATCAAATCACCATCTTCAGTGTAGCTAAGTAGCACAAGCCCAGTGGGTGACTGTCTTCTCTTCTGAGGACCAGGAACTACATCGCTTCTACCAGTAATTTCTTTATAGAGTGTAAACACCCGTTGATGGCACGTGAAAGGAGATGCTGCGTAACTAGCATGTCTCCCTCCATGGCTTCCTTTCTGAACAAGGCTAGTAATTTCTTATTTAACCACTGCATTAACTCATTAGAAGTTTCTGTGTTCTCTCCCCCCACCAAAAATAAGCAAGTCTAAATCCCTCACCATGATCAATTAGCTAAGTCCAGGCTCGTGGTAGGCATGGACTTTGATGATTCCAGGAAGATGGTATAACTTGGTTACCCCAATCATGTCTTAAACTTTCTGAAAAGTTGTTGTACTATGTCATAGAGTCTCAGAGGCTTCAAATGATTCAGATAATGTGAGTTAGATTTCATTCATAGGTTGCACTTGGGAGAGGCTTGAATTTGGGACTGAGTTAATTAGGAAGCAGATAATGGTGTGAGGTTTAACATCAACACTGGGCACAACAAGGTCATAGTTAATTCTTTAACATTACCTGGCATCAGGTGAGGTATTAAAAGATGACACAGATCTCAAATGATCTTACTCAAGCTGAGAACTCACCTGGGGCTGTTGGCCACAGATGGAGTGTCCTCCATGTGAGCTTTTCTATGTGGCCAAAAAAGGAAGATTGTCACATCACAGTGATCTGGGATTTCTCAAGTGTTAATAAGTTTCCAAAGGTACAAAATCAGAGGTTCCCAGGCTTTCTCAAGGCTCAGATCCAGATTCAGCAAAGTTATTGCCTTGTGGGTCAGGTGTTCAGAGTCAGTCCTTCATCGAGGGACTTTACAAGGATGTGGGTATGGCTGTTTTCCCTCAAGAGCTTGGCCAACATCTCCACACCTCAAGTTAGGGATCAGAAAAGGTTGCCCACTCCACCCAGCTGTGTTATGTAACATCTACACTTTAATCTCTCACAGTATCAAGTATGAGATGCTTTAACTTCTCACAGCATCAGGTATAAGATGCTTTCATCTCTCACAACGTCATGCATGAGATGCACTTGGGTCTTGAGAGATAAGTCTCTCTCGGCTTCTTTCTCTTAAGTTTGAGATTCTGTCTTTGGGATGTGCTAGGGTCAGCAAATGAGGACAACTGACTAGTAATGGCTCCATGGATAGTCCTCAAAAACAGAGACTTTTAAAATTATGAAGTATATAGGCTTCTCTCAAGAGCAGGCTCTCATGCAAGCAGGGCCTCACTTTGTGGAAGTCAGATGGATGCCCTATGTCTGAGTGACCACAAGGCTAAGATGTCATGAGAGCTTTCAATCCTAGTACAAAGATGTATCACTGAAAAGTTGGCCTTCACATTACTGGGAGGGGAAATGGTTGAAAATGGTTTTCCTTGAGGTTCTTAGTACACACACACCCCCGCTCGCGCGCACACACACACACACACACACACACACACACACACACACACACACACACGGGGTAGGGGAGGGTACAGGAGGATTTCCTGGGACTAGTGGGGTGGTTCTGTTGGTCCCCACCAGGCTCCTTTCCACTAACCCACAATGCCAGCTGCATTGATTTTTTGATTTATGATGATGTAGTTAAAGGACTTTTTTTTATAGAAGGAAAAAGTGGGCCACAGGAAGAGTCTCCTGTCAGCTCCTAGCAAACTCAACAGCAAGGTCTCAAGGGAAGGAAAATCCATCTCACAACAGAATCCTCTGCAGTTGATAAATAAGGACCTGACCAGAGGAAGAATTCTGAGCCATTTGGAGAAGGAGGTAACAGCATGGACACTCCACCCTTAGGGACCCCCTGCAGATGGCACTCTCATTAGGACCTCTAGATTCATAAGGGCCTGAGTTCTTACATGGCCTCAAGATCTTTTTCAGTTCAACACCCCACAGAATCATTGCCGACAGGCCAGGGCTGATCCCCAAAGCGAAGTCAATTTGCAGTGTCTGGTGATGAGC